AGAAGAAGAAGAAGAAGAAGAAGAAGAAGAAGAAGAAGAAGAAGAAGAAGAAGAAGAAGAAGAAGAAGAAGAAGAATCTTCCACATCTGGGTGCCATTGTGTTCCCAAGCGCAGGGTGACAGGGTTCTAAGAAAGCTTTCTTCAAGAGGCCAGGGAGACACCTATGGGATACAAGGTTGTGCCTGAGGTCCTTGTCAAACACTTCCTGTGAGTTAAAGTAAGCCATTTCATTGGAAGTTAAGCAGTCCATGAGCCTTTGTTTTGCACATAGGAAAACCAAGTGGGGGGGGGGGGGTTAAAGAGACTTCTTCAAGCCTATACCTCTAGTCAGAGGCAGATCAAAGCTTAAAAGCAGACAATCTGGGCCGTGTTCTGCATTTGAAAAGCGGGACTTATGCACACTGCGCTAGGTTCTAGATATCACACCACAAGAATGCTTTCTTCAGTGCCGTGGAGGAAAGTCACAACCACTACCAGCACCCGCATGGCAACCCAGTGAGGAGTTTCACAGATCAAACCTACAGCACACTCAATCACCCACCAAGGACACCTAGCCGGGCAGGAAATTAGGGCTGGCAGAGAGGGAAGAGAGACTGGGAGAGGAGAATCAGAGGGGTAGCCTGGCACTCTTACTCTGAGGAAATATAATCGAGAATAAAATTATCTCCCAACCCAGAAGATCTTTCCCTCAGGAAAAGTGGAAGAGAAAGAGATAATTCTATTCTTGAATAATCCCTAAACCAAGATGTGATGTGCATCAGAGGCGATCTGCTTAGAGGTTGCAGAGCCACAAAGGAATTGCTGTTTTATATGTATGGGCAAGCAGATAACAGCCTGGCACTTACACGTTCAGTGTGAAGAGCCCAGTGGCTCCCAGAATACATAGTAGCATATGTTTTGTTTTTGGAAAGAGTTCACCTACGTGTGTGCATTTATAAATGCATGGAGTATCCCAGGAAGAGCTGAGAATTTAGTGCTTCTTGCTAACATGCAAAGAGGGGAAGTGGGTAGCTGAGCCACCCACTGGTGAAGGAGGAGAATGTTTGTAAACATTCCTTGAACAAAATGTTATGCGCTCACTATTTAAAAAAAAATAAATAAATAGAGGCAGTGCAGCATTTTAGGATCCTCGGATGTTTGGAAGACACTAGGCTGATTCCCATTTTGGAAAGGCCATGGGTCCTGAGTCGCAATCTCAAACCCAGTCCGAATTCTAGACTGGCCACCCATAGTGCGTCACCTCCCTCTCCTTGGCCTCTGCTTGCATTTGTATAAAATGTGGATAATTAGAAATAAGGTATGTAAGGTGTCTTGGCTTATGGAGGCTAGCCAACAGCAGCGCTTACATCATGCTGAGCGGGGGAAATTCCCTCCTGGGGAGATTACCTCACCGAGCACAACTTCCCCATCTACTGTGGAATCTGCCAGTGCAGGCCAGGGAGCAGCCTCGGGTGCTGTGAGGCTTCTCTGGACCTCTGCGCCCCCTTCTGCACACCTTCTTGCCCCATCACTACAGCCTCTCCCCTCAAAGCACTCCATCAGCTCCATTTGACCAGGGTTCACGTATCCTCCAGGGCCCTGAATAGTAGCTGCTCCAGAACAGGTGCCCTGGCTCCTCTGGCAGTGGCCCCCCAAGGCCAGGTCTTTGTGTGTCCTCCCCCATCCCCTGCCCACCCACACAGAACACTCTCAAGGCTGTTGGCCCCAGGCCAGGCATAGAATGGTACTGAATTCTGCGTCACCGTCACTGGACAGTGTGGCAGGGCTTCCTGCTCAGTGCTGCATTCCAGTCGCCTCTGCACTTCCCTCCCAGACTCTCCCCACATTCTTCTCAGTCCCCTCTAATCTCTTTTCTCCACCTTTCTGATAATCCCTGCAAGGCTCCGCTGTTTCCTGTACTCTCTCCCCTACTTCATTCCCCTACCCCCACACGCGGAAAAAATCTGGGACACAGTAACTGATCAATAAATGCTAGCGCTATTTCCTCTTGGAAAGGTACCTAGCTGTGCCTGGCAAAGATACTCACTTTGTATTCTCTGGATGGAAAGGGGGATAAAGTATGGGACAATATATCAACCTTCCCTGAGCCTCAGAACCTCTGTCCCTAATGTGAGGGAATGAATACACTTTCTTCCTAGCACTGTAGTAGGAATTCTGCAAGGCATTCAGAAAGCTGTAAGCAAGAAGGG